AAGTGTACAGCATTTGCAATAAGCCTTGAATTAATCAAGCTTAGAAAGATGCTTTAAAAATGCAAAATATTCCAATAGTTGTTTTTATGGTTCCTGGCAGTAATGGTACTAATTTTTACAGTTACATTTTAATAATCTTAATTTTTTTCAAATTAAGGCCGTTGTTAATTTTTTTAACTACTAGACCACATAAAGAAGTACTACTACTTTAGTGAACTACTGCTGTGTTAACATTTTGGTGTACTTTAGTATGTGAATTTTTTAAAGTTATGATCATCCATCATGTAATCTTTTTTTTTTGGTTTTTCTCCGGTACCGGGAACCGAACTCACGACCTTGTGCTTGCCAGGCAGGTGCTTTGGCGGCTGAGCTAAATCCCCAGCCCCCATCATATAATCTTATACCCAGATATTTTCAGGTAAGATCAAACTCAGTTTTTTCATGTTGTTTTTAAAAAATCTGTGGCTATGGTATCTTTAAGGCCTGCAACCAAATTTCCTGATGACTGTACATTAATAAAAGTTTCCTGTTTTTCCCTAGTGTAAGACTAAAATGAACAGGGAAGTGGATATTTTTGTTCCCCTCTATCCACGTCCTGCTTCTTGTGAAATCCAGGTCACACTCTTGCCCTAGCCCTGGAAGCCATGGGCTTGGGAAGGACGGGTCCAGTTCTAGAACTAGGAGCGGACTCGCTCACACTAGTCTTGTCTTGTATGTCCCTGGCCATGGAGGTTGGTTTATGTGTGGGGATAAAGCCATTTCTAAGGAGACAGGAAAAAAGGAAACTTACTGTAGGCAGGATAGAATTTATGTTCAGAGGAATAGCTGGTGAAATAATCTTCATATAAAAGCAAACACTGAAGTTGGCTTATATACTTTATAATTCCATATTTTATTTCACATTTTAAATCCTATGACAAAAATGGCTAGATACAGTACAACAGATAGTATGCTGGACCATCACATATCAGCAGAACTAAAATCAAGAAAGATCTCATTACCAAAGGCTGGCCTATATGTGATCTCAGCCCATAAGATTCAAACTGAAGGACTGAGATAGAAAGAAGGAAATTGTTAAAGAACTCAAAATCAAAGGGAGTGCCTACCATTAGCAGAAGAGGAAGGACTGATTTTGGCTATCCAGAACTATCTCAAAAGCCAAATTATATGGCTACTCTCTTATAGAGTTTGAAGTTTAGTGAATCTTCAGGGCTTTGCTAACAAAAAGAAGCCTACATGAATAAAGATCACAGATCATCTCCCTCCCACCACGTGGCAAATTATGCTTGCACCAGTAAGATATGTTTATAGGTGCAGGGCACACTGATTGAGTTTGGGACCTCAAGCTTTGCCTGAGAGGAAGCTATCTATGAGCCAGCAGGAGACATACTTGAGTGTGCTTCTAATACGCAGCTTTGTGCTGGTACGCACAGAGACTTCTGACCCATGTGCAATGGTGGACAAGGCTTTAAACACAGATCCAAGTCACTGGGCACTGCGTGTATAGCATTGTTACCTGCTACAATGGCTGGCAGGCTGCCAATATTTTATATACTGCCTTCTCAACACTGAATAGCAATTTTGATCCTTGTTTACAGGAGTAGGTGGATAAAATATTTGAAGTGCCTTAAAAGAGTATCTATCATAAAATAGAAAAATAGCAATAAAATAGGCATAAGAAAGACATAGGTAGAATATAATAAGATGAAATGCAGGGTAAAATAAAGATATGAATGTCTTATGCCCCCCATTTCCTACAATGATCTGTAAATCTGATTCGGAATTTCCTGCCATGCAAGGTACAGACAGTAATAGGAGCACTTAAAGCAATGTTTTTCATTGTGCAGAAGAAGTAGAGAGTGGGGATTTCTGTATATAAATATTTGATAACTAATTACTTTCAGAGGCCTCTAAGCTGTCATTAGAACAATTACTTTCCTTTATGTGGCACTTAATACTTCAGATATTATTTTCTTTATTTTTTTATTTTATGGAAAAATAAAACAAAACTTCATGACCAAACGCTGAGGACAAAAATAGTCATTACACTGTGAATCACTGTCTTTAAAGTAGTTCCTCAGAGTACAAGACATAATCCATAAAGATTCTTACAAAAAAGAAACACAATAACACAGAACTTTCTTTCTATAATAATAATTATAATAGTAAGATAATAAGGTAATTATAATAATAGTGTTAATGTCCTGTGAGGTAAGATTTGAGAGTATTATTTAAATAACAGTGTAATAAAAAATGTATCTCTCACTCACAAATCTAGGAATCCTAACTGAGAGCACAACAAATAGAAAATATGCAGAAAGAAGCCTAAGGCAGCAGGCTAGAGAGATAGCTCAGCGGCAAAAGCACCTGCCTGACAAGTACAAAGTCCTGAGTTTGATTCCCGGTACCAAAAAAAAAAAGTCCAAGACAACAAACCAGATGGCAGCAAGTATATACTGGCACACAGAAAAGAGCCTCCCACTTAGGACCTGCATCTTCTTATTGAACCTAAAATTCTAATAAAGATTACTGTTTCCTTTAAAGCTACAGTAGACTAAAAGTAATTAAATTATCACAGAGAAACTATGACATCTATATTTCCAAAATGGGCTCGTGGGAAAGCAGAGGTAAGAACTGAAACAAGAGTGTTAGGGTCAACACTGCGGCCCTTAACGCTCACCAGAAAAAATGATGTGACGCGCCTCGGCTCACTTTCTCACCGAACCCTAACCGTCCACAAACCAGCATTTCACAGAATTACCTCAGCAGCCTCTCAGGGACAGAAATACGATCCTGTTTGCCCACTCCCAATTTATAATCTTTCAGTGCTTTTCTAGGCTCATGAGATAAAATCCTTATTTAAAATGGCCCGCAGGTCTCCAGCGCGTTCTATCCACTGCTTGTCGGCCAGGTTCTTCTCCCTTTAATCCCGCCTGCGTGGACCATTTCACATTTCCTTCCCTCTCCCTGGAAGGTCTCACTGCTGCTGCTCCTGTGGTCCCTCAATGTCCTTTCTTTGTTCTGTTTTTGTTTTTGTTTGGTTTTTCTCCGGTACCGGGAATCGAACTCACGACCTTACGCTTGCCAGGCAGGCGCTTTTGCCGCTGAGCTAAATCCCCATCCCCCTGAGCTAAATCCCCAGCCCCCTTCAATGTCCTTTCTTAATAAGCTTACATTAGGTGGTCATGGTGGTGGTGCATGCCTATTATCCAGCACTCTGGGAAGCTGAGGTAGGAGGATCACAAGTTGGAGCCCAGCCTGGGCAACTTAATAACTTAGCAGCAACCTGTCCCAAAGTATAAATGAATGAATGAATGAATGCATGGCTGGAGATGCAGCTCAATGAGAAGGCCCTGGGTTCAATTCTTTCCTGTTAAACAAACAAGCCTTACTTAGTCCCGGAGTCTAGATTAGGTTTCCCTGTGCACCGTTAGGACATTTGCAGTTAGGGATACATCTCAACTGCTCTCATTCTGATGGATTAATGTTTCCTTCTAGTGCACTATGAGCTCTGGTGGAACAAGGACCATGCCTGGCTCCTGTCACGCGCTGAGTACATGTTTACTGGTAAAAATGAAGACGGTGTCACAGGACAAGCACGGTGCATCTCGCCGGTATATAATATTTAAATGTTACTGAGAGATCTTTTAGGGAGGGAGAAACTATTTTCTTTACTAAAAAAATAAATTCATTATAGAGTAGAATGCAAACATCATATGAATTTTAAAGCTAAAAAAGGTTTTCAAAATTCTTCAGGCTACACCCCCAGATTTTTCTAGAGGCATTGTGCTTAAAATGATATGGAAACACGGTGTGGTAAGCATCCATTTCATAAGGATCTGGATAACCAAAGCTTAACTTCGTTTTACTAGATGAGAACGTGTATACAAATTATTATTTTTGGTAGTAGTATTCTTTAGAAATCCGTCCCGCAGAAGGGAAAAGATTAGATACTACATCGCAGATTATAGGTGGGGCTGGCGCCGGAACCCGGGCCGCCGGGGACCCGCCCGGCACCCAGCTTTTCACAAGCGCCGGGAACCTGCCACCTGGCCCCCGCCGCAAGGATCCCCACCCTCCCGAGCTAGAAGCCATGTCTGGGGCGGACGGCCTCCGCCAGGCTCAAGGACACTTTAAGTTCTAATCGACCAGAGCCGAGGAGCGAGTTGGAAAATGAAGGCAAGCATTTCCCTGCTTCACGATCCGAGGCTTTCTGCTCTCCCGGCCGGGACCCGACGGCTCCCCTCGAGGGATGCAAACCCCGGCCGCTGCGCTCTGGCCAGGCCCGCGCGGCTCTCCCCCTTGTGGCGGAAACGCAGAGCGCGGCGCGCTTCGGGGACCCGGCCACCTCCTTTTCGGAAGTGCAAGGCAGTAGTAGTTCGGGGGCCTGGAAGGCGGGAAAGCTCGGGGTAACTAAGGCGAAGACGCGCCGCGGGGGTCCACGCGGCTGCCCAGCTTCGCGGTCCTGCAGCGTGGCCAGTTCCTGCACGCGGACGTCGGCCACAGCTGCCGGTTAGGAGCCCGGGACCCCGAAGGCAGCCGCCGGGGAGGGTGGTCCCCTGGGACGCGGCGGCGTCCGCGCCTCCG